GACCGAAACCATGTGTACCGCCAGCGCTAACGCTGGTGGTACAATAATCAAAAATATCGAAAATTTAGGGGTGAAACAGCATTGAATGGAGACCTTGCTGCCTTGGCAGAGGTCTGCGCTCTCTGAGTGCTTTTCTAGTTATTTATGTTTTAAATATACAAATAGAGTTTCTCTTGTCTCTAGCTATAGAAAAAAAATAACTGGCTGGTAAATTTTATTCATCTTTTTTTTCTATAGCTAGCAATCTTGCCATCATTCTCTTTTGTCAATATGGATAATTTTACTTTTGAGAAAGTGTTCAGAGCTTTTGTGTGTTGCCAAGTCTCAGTTGCTAAGTCTATTCTGTTCAAAAGGAAATTGCACCAATCTCAGTTGGTTAAAAATGACTAGTGCATACATATCACTGCCCTTATCATAATGTGAACATGAACAATCAACAAAATTTCTGTCATCTATGTTTTTTTCTTCAAATCCTCAAATCGTTTTGTTAAGTCATCAAAGTCTACATCATCTCCATCTTGGTCAGTGGGAACTGATGGGAGAACAGGTAACGAACCAGCAGGGGGCACTGAAGGGAGACTGGGAACTGAGCCCACAGGAGGCTGTGAAGGAAGAACAGGAACTTCTCCCCGTGAATCTGGAAATAAAAGTATATCACATCTTGATTATGTCAAAATTGATGTGGGCAAAAGCAATAATGTGGAAAAAAATGTACTGACACAAACTACATTTCATTAAAGGCCCTGTCCCACTGGCAAGGAATTTTGCATGAATTGCACACAAAATTGGTTGATATTCGCAAAACATCTGCAATATTCTTGATACATGCTTGTATCATCATACATGCATGTATCATTCGGCCAGCATCTGCACACATCCATAATTATCCACAGAGGCATTTTTTTCCGTTAACAAGATTTCTGAGCTGCCCAAAATTTTGGTTGGGGATGACAAGCGCAATACATCCGCAAAACATCCACAATACAAAAGCAATACATGCGCTGTTTTCCGCTCTTATCCGCAACTCAAGGGTAAATTGCGGCTTACTAGCAGACTAAGAGAGCATGTATTGAGTATGCAAACTGTATATAGAGCATCCCTTCCATGTCCATATCACGTTCCAAAATAATATATTACGAATATTATGGATTTGTCAGGATTCTGTTGCATCTGATTTGCATCTGATTTGCAAATGTCTGCAATGGCATCCGCTTTTATTCATGATATACATATACAATACATTATTGAAATATTCGTATTCCATACTGTTCTTATCAGCATACATTGTGGAAATTTGTCACTTTTGGTCAATTCTGTTGCGAATGACAATGAAGGCCCAATCCCGAGAAAATTTGTATCCTCAATTCATCCTCTTGTCAGTGTGACTGGGCCTTAGCTCAGTAATAATGTCCCCAATTCCATAAACATGAAGAAGTTTAGAAAGTGACCTAATACCCTTTTATGAAAGTAGAAATACAGAAAAGTAAAAAAGAAGGCAAACTACTTACATGGTCCAGGGGGCTGGGCAGGCTGTGACCCTGATGAACCATAGCCAAATGGACCCTTCAACAAGCATAAAAAATAACTTTTTTACATCAAACATAAACTTGTAATAACTAGAGGATCTGAGAGGCAATACTGCCTCTTGGCGTTGTACCACCAGCATGAGTAAGCATATTTAATTTTAAAGGAAGGTGTGGATGTGTGTGTGTGTGTTAGGGGCCATTCCCACAGATATTTGGTTCGATCTATCTCCCTGGGGAGTCTCACTAAATTGCTATTAAACTAACCGGCTTAAATGCCTGTCACGTCTAGTAAAACTGTTAGGGGTAATTATCTTTACCCCTAGCTGATTCAGTAGGCATGACAGACATTTAAGCCTCTTGAGCTCATAGCAATTTAGCGGGAACCCCCAGGGAGATAGTTCGATCCAGATGGATCGATGTAGGTATGGGAACCAATTCTTAATTGTGAATAAGTAGGATTGGATGAATGTGGTGGTGATATTTTATGGGGAGAAGTAGGTTAAAGGAAATCTAGGTTTCAAAAAAAATCTGAACATTTATCATGGGACCCAAAACCTAACATTGAGACTCAAGAATTGAATTAAAAAACGCAGAATTCCGTTTTTCCACGGAAAAATCTCATATCTGTTAAAGGGAAAATTCAAGTTCACATTATGAATGCCAATATATACCTTCCTACTGAAGTTCGATAGCAACTGGGCATATCTCTGCCTATCATATCTCTGCCAGTTTTGGAGAAATAAAGGTAGGAAAATTAACAAAGTTCAGTTCATGGTGAAAAGTAGGTCAAAGCAAAAATTCAAGGTCACAGTATTATTGCTGATATAATACTTTCCATTCAAATTCAATAGTGACTGTGGGAATATCTCTGCCATTTATGTGGATATAACGCAACCGGATCTCAGTTAAGACCAACGAAATTCTTCTTACGAAAAAGAATTAACAAAGTTCAGTTCATGGTGAAAAGTAGGTCAAAGCAAAAATTCAAGGTCACAGTATTATTGCTGATATAAGACTTTCCATTCAAATTCAATAGTGACTGTGGGAATATCTCTGCCATTTATGTGGATATAAGGGTAAAAAAAATTGAAAAGTGCAGTTCATGGTAAAAAGTAGGTCAAAGGGTCAAATTCAAGGTCACAGTTAGATTGCCAGTATATGACTTCCTACAGTAAATTCAACTATAACTATGGGCATATCTCTGCTAATGTTGGAGTATTTCACAGTTTATTTTTACCACTGAATAATGACTTGCATTTTCGATATAGTGCAACTCTTAAACCATATGGAAAAAAAAAAAACAGACAACACTTCCAGTATTTCGCTTGACAACCTCTACAAAATACAACAAACAAGAGGTCTCTAGCATTTACAGTTCCAGAATTAGAGTGTTTTCAGTTTTGGTATCTAATGGCTGCTCCTCCCATGATAATGTACCAATTGACCCCAAACTCACGAAGATAAAAGACGACCCTAAGTGTAACACCTGACCATAATATTATAGGTTAGGTTCATGTAGCTTCTGAAAATCAGCACAAATAAAGATTTTTTGGCAAAGAATTCCCATTGTTAGAAAATTTTGAAATCTCCACACATGACTTTTGTTGACACATTTATAGTAATTTTTCCCACAATTCCTTCATTTTGGGAGATATTAAGCATTTAAGCATTCAATTCCTTAAAATGTGTTTACAGTGTTGCATATATGCTGAAAAGTGAAAAAACAGCATAACTTCTACAATAATGGCCCGATCATGCAGATTTTCGAACTTGACCTGCGTTTTATGAATATTCATCAGCTCTGTAAATATAAAGCCAAAAAGTAAAACTGTCCTCCACTTATCGTGTTTACAAGGAAAGTGCACGGCGCCGGCGCCGGCAATGGCGACAGCGACGACAGACGAAGGTGATGGCAATATGTACAGACACATCTGTGTCTGTACATAAAAATGAAAATAATTGTGGATGTGTATTCCATTAGTTTCCACATACTCAACTCCTGAGAAAATTTCCCAAATAAAGGTATATGTGTAAGACCTTTATATAGCAAGAAATTTATTTTCCTAAAAATTTGAGTAATTTCTCTTTCATCATTAAAAAAAGTTAACATCTACAAACCTGTTTCTTGGCTTTTAATTTGTTATTTTTTTGCCATAAGTGAAATTTAAAAAATTGTGTTTTAGTCAGGCAAAGGCAATAACTCACACATATAAACAAAATCACACACAAAAATTAATTTTGATGACCCCCTCTCCTCCCAATGTGCTGAACTATTTTTTAACTCCACTTACAGCAGGCGAGTAATATGGTGGTGGGGGACTACTTCGCTTTGGAGATGATCTTCCAGAATCCCCTGTGTGTTTGGCTAGTTTGTCAGGATAATTTGATGCTCCTCTGCTACTGTAGTCTCCAGCTGGTAAGGGAGGCTTCTCATCTTGATGTAGGTCTGGGTTTGACGGTAAACTGGCGGCACCTGGTGGCAAATTCTGTGGTTCTGATGAAGGCACACCTTGAAGTGATGGACATAAGTGGACATGTATTTACTAAATAATTTGACCCAAGTATACAGTATTCTGAAAGTTTCATCTGGCATACCTGATATTAAATACCCATGCTGCATGTTAAAATATTGGCCAAAGGTCGTACAAGCCAAGCAAGCATCTTGGAGCTTTAACTGAAAGATTGAATGATTTGTGGAGACTTATTGAAAATCAGCATCTCTCTAGCTATATTAAAAATCACAGAAAATAAACTTTCTTGGCCAAGCAAAATAAATGATACTTTGCCAAAGATAAATTCTCAAAAGAGTTATTGCTGAGTGCCCTTAAACTAAATGTCGGTCCAAATTAGTTCAAACTTAAATGGCCATTTTATAACAGTGACTACTTAAAAACTGTTAATGCCTCACTTTCAGACATTCACAACAATGTACTTTCTGACATAAAACTAACAAACTTTCAAAACCTTTTAATCAACATTTCAAGCATTACTAACAAAACCTTTATTTGGAAAGTAAAATAACTTATTCACCTTAACTGAACTTATAGAGTATAATAACTGTAATCTGATTTAAGTCCCTCAAAAATATATCACAAGAAGAAGCACGTGTTTTGCAGGTCCATCATAGTGAAAACAGCACACGCAAATACAGCTTTATATAGTAAGCCAAGTTCACAATATGCCTTGTGAGAGAATAACCTTTTCCCTACCTGGAAGAGACATTGCCATCCCCGGGTATGACAGTGGAGTGTACTGGTGTGGCACTTGCTGGGGATAAGGCTGAACATGTTGTGGGGGGAATACCATACCACCCCCACCCCCACCCCCACCATGACTGCCTTCCCCAGGCTGTCCATCAAACCCTAAGTCTAGCAGATCTGAGACTGCTGGGATTTCTCCCTGTAAAACACAAAAGATCTTTGTATAATTTAAGTATTCAACAACTTGAATATAAACAGCAAATGTGAGTTGTTCCATGCACTGTTCCCTTCTTTGCACAGAATGATGGCATGCAATCAATTTCAAAAGATTACCAGCGTTAAAACTATTATTTCTACTCTGCAGTGAAGCTTCAGGATGTCTCTGTTTGAAAATAAAGATACAAAAATAATTACAAGTACAAATGTCACTTGCAATTTAGAAAGAGAGTAAATTCAAGAATAAATACAATCATTACCATCATAGCAATAGGATCTGGCTCAAAAGGCACATTGTACGCCTTGGCAATCTCCAGCATGTAGTTTTCTATAAGTATTTTGGGAGGGGCATAGATTGACAGCTTGTTCTGCAACTGGAATATATCAAGCCAATTTTAAATTCTACTTTACTTTCATGAGTAAGATGTCACAATGGGATAATACGGCCAACTTGGCCCCAGATGTCGCTGTGACATCTTTAGTAACATTTTGTAAACTGGTTATCAACTAGTGCTACTTCTAACCATAAAGAGTGACAACCCTTCACAAATTTTAGTTTTGTTGCAAACTAGTGCCGCAAATTTAAAGCAAATTTGCATGAAGGAATTTTACCATGCAAATTAGGCAGTGTTTTAAATTTGATAGGATAAGTTTAAATATGAAAAGACATGAAGAATTCTTGAACATTTTTGGCCATTTGCAGCAACTGTTTTTCTTTCAAACTCATTGATGTAAACTTTTAGCTCACATCAAATTTGAAGCAATCTTTTTATTTTGCCAAGGAAAGGTTTTAGGTGAACCTCTTTCTATGGTTTTGAATAAAAAAAATTTATTAATACTTTCATAACAATAATGACATAAATGTAGAATTTACAACCAGAGCACTTCCTAGTTATAAACAGGTATTCAAACCTTTTCATTGACTATTCCAGAAGGATTTGTCTGGCACATTATAGCATATTCTTTACCATACTTTGCTGTAAGCTGCTGGGCAACCTGGAAAATTGTGCAAAATTTACATGAAATATCTTGATAAAATATTCAGCTATCCTGCATATGAAAAGAAAACAGCTCTTCATTAAACACAGGTAAAAGTAATCTGTTAAACTTGGTGTTTCAAAAAACATTTAACCTTTTTTTAGTGCCAGCCATATGTTCCCACGTAGAATTCAAAATAATTTCATAAAATTAATTTCTTATCCTCAAGTCCTAATGCTTAAATTAAAGCCAATAATCTGATAATATATGGCAAATATAAATATTTTGGGATCTGAAAGAAAATAGCAATCATTTTTGAATGAGTTTCCAGCTAATTCTGACACCTAGAGGGCAGAGATTTAGATAGATCTTACTAGATTGACCTAACTCCCTGGGGATACACGCTAAATTGCAGTCAGCCGACCGCGCACAGAAGTTAATTACCCCCTTACAGCTTGTAGTAGGCGGGACGGACAATAGGGACTGTCCGGGATAGCCTATTTTGAACATCTGCGCAGCAGATGACGTCAAACGAGACCTGGATTGGAGCGAGATTTCACGAGAGGTGGGGTTAAAATCTGCCATTGAAACTTCTCTCGCGTCTTCTCACAAGTCTATGTTATAGGATTGCATTAAGTAAACTTTGGCGTTGTCATGTAATTTGACATAGAGTAACGCAATGGCGAATTACTAATGTTGTGTCATAGGGTGCATTGCAGTTAAAGCTTAGCAAGAAAACCAGGAAAATGACCATGGATGACCGACACGTCTGGTGAGAGAAGTGAAGTAAAGAAAGAGAAGTTGATTAGATTAAGTGAAGTAAAGAAAGTTGATTAGGACAAAGTGTCGACATATTTAAAGTACAGGTCAGGTCGTAGTATTTTGTAGGAAGAAAGGGACCAACTGCAGACAACTCGCACCCGACACGTCACTGGCTTCATGGCATCACCGTATAGACCGTATCATCAACAGTCGAGGGGCATGTTAATAAGTACTGAGTAAGTTTTGTGTGTAGTTTACAGGACACCATGGTTTATTAATGTAATACAGCCCTAGTACTTGTGATTAATAGTCTTTTACAGTAACTATATCAGACAAATTTGCTTATACCATTCCTGTCTCCATATAACGTGAACCTGATTATGAAATACTGGTGAACTTTCCACACCTATTAAGTATACACAATGTTCAGTTGCATTTGTGACATTCCATGCCGGGTGGTCGGTTATAATAATTGCAAGTAAGGTAGAAATTAGAGTTGGTATTTTACAACAACGTTTATCACATAATGATATATATTTCAGAAAATTAAGTGAATTATTATTTTTTTTATTTTAGAGCATGACAGACACAACGCATGTTATTGAACCAGGCAAGAACTGTGAGAGACGTGGTCAGGATAAACAGATGTTGAAGATTGCTCAGTGTATATTAATCTCTTATGTCCTTAGTTATTATGTTGTTGACTTATTATATCAGTAATCAACAGATGGCATTTTTGTCTGGGTGTCACTTACAGTATCAGGCATTTTCTTTATTACTTTAAAATGAAATATTTGGTTTTATGAATATATATATAGGCCTATGTATTGTACTGCACTAGTAATTTAATGAAGAAAATAATTTTTCTTGCTTGTATCATTCTTATGTTACTGTAGTGACTTTTTAAAATAACTATATGACACCTGTTTTTTATATTATTTACTGAGATCACAAATACAAGTTCGCCTGTGATGTTGTGTTTATTTGTTGTATTTGTGTATAACTGTCAATAAAATGCAATGATTTATGAAAAGTTCAACCTATATGTTGTCCATTTTAATACTTTCTTTTGTCATCTTTCCTGTCATTTAAGTCAAATCTGATCACAATGAAACTTACATTTTGTGAATGCTATCCATTAGCTTCTATAGCATCATTTTCATCAGTAAATAAATGAAGAAAAATAACTTTATGATCAAGTTCCAGCCTTTAAATTTAGTGAAATTAAAACAAAGATGCTGGCAGGTCTAATGTTCTGATATGCTATCCATCAGTAAATGAAATGTCAAATGATTTTTTTTTTATTTCTTTATAAGTAAAGTTTAATAGTAAAAAAAATTATAAAGAAAAATAAGTTGCAGTTATAAAGCTTTTGTTGTTCAAACGGATCTCATGAAATGACCAATCAATGAAAAACAATGGTAACTAATGTCATTTTCCTGTACCACAAGCAAATATCTGGTGATGAAGCCTGTTTAAACGCGAACTTTGCTGCGTAGTACGTCCTCCGGGCGAATTTTGCTTTGCAAGCGTCATTGGCTCTTAGCTTGGCAAATTCAACCTGTCAGTTGTACGTACATATTATATCAATACTTTTTCTTTATAAAGTGAAAAAAAGAATAAGCCTGTAGCTCAAAAATTTTGTAAGTTCAGCTATTTTTCAAGTAAAGAAATCGCTGCTCTACTTCCTTGTGGTCTCTATATTTTAACCCCACCTCAAGGCAGATCTCGTAAAATCACGGGGAAATGTGTCTTCTCGTTCAGAACCCGGACAACCTCTATTAAGCCGGATTATCTGACAGTAATCTAGTGAGACTCCCCACGGGGATAGATCGATCTAAAATCTATGGGAATGTACCCCTAGTGTGAGTGTTGAAGTCTCACCTGCGCCAATTCTGCAATGTCTGCCACCACTCTGGGGGCTGCCCATATGATGGAAGCTATACATTCCTCAAGGCCTGGGTCAAGTACACTGGCATTAAAACATTAACATCAACCTTACTTTTTTTTTCCTGTTAATCATACATAAAAATTTGCACTTATAACACAAATATTGAGATGATTTAATCAAAACATATTTCATTAATTCCACTACATGCATTATGTACCAATATTAGTATCAGTATGGTTCATGTGGTAGTGATTAAGGTGTGCCGGTGTGGTACACATTATTCTGGGACATATTTGGCATATTTATACTTATTTAGTTATTTATTTATTTATTTATTCCAATGTATCTCCCCCATGGCCACCCTGAGCTTCAGAAATAACTACATACTACCTCTACACTGTAGCATACCCTTGCAGTTTCAAGTTACCTCTGACCAGACTTGATAGGCCTGGCTGCCTGCCACTCAAATTTAAACCCAGGCCCCCTATGACTCATTGAACTATCAAACCAATAAACGCAAACAAATCAAAGTGAGGCTCTGGACCAATCAAAAATAACAGAGATGTATTGTGCTGCATCAATAAACAAACCCATGTGTTGCTCTAGTCTTACTGGACATATTTCCAGACTTTCGTTCATTCAGTGTTTTTTTTACCAATCTTTGGTGAAAAATCTTGAAAACATGGATTCAATTGGCTTAATAAACTAGGTCAAAATGAAACTGGTCATAGGTAACTTGAAACTGCAAGGGTATGCTACAGTGTAGCAGTTTGTTTCAAGTTATCTCTGAAGCTCAGGGTGGCCATGGCCCTCATCAGGTAAGCTAAAGATAAAAAATAAAAAATAGAAAACACTATGAAAATGGTCTTCCCAAATTCTTGTAGGATATTCTGAATCACTGAGACATCTGCCATCTGCCATTGTGTGTGTCTGACTTTGTTCAAATTAATTCGCTCTGTAAATCTTTTGCCTTTTAATAGATAGAGATGGAAAGGCTATCAGTAAGAAAAAGCAAAGGCATTTGTAATCTGACTAATTCTGTTATACTAGAATAATATGAATATTGCAAAAGGTATTAAGGAAAGATAACACAAATGGTGAGAAATACTGTGGAAATGACTGTTTTGTATAACAACATACTTCATTTTCTCAATGAGTCCAAATCTTGCCAACAACAGATCACAGAACATCTCCAGGATTTCCAGCCCTTCCACCATATAGTCTTCCCTCACTATGTGCTCTACCTACAAGACCAGGAAGAAATCGTCTCATGATGTGAATTATAGCCACAACATGTCATTATATTACACAAAATCTTCCTTTAAAAATAAATAAGTCTCCAAATATTTATGTTGAAGGCATTTCTTTCTTTAATTTGCAAAGTTGTGCATGGAATGTTAAACAACAATTTATGATAATAAGAACAGGGCACACTTGGGAGCTTGTCTATCTAAGCACTAGCCTGAGAGTAGATGTATATCTACTTGTACACATGATATTCACAGACACATGCATCCTCACACACATAGAAGCTTGCACGTGTATGCTCAAACATGCAAACACAAACATGCATTTTTCCACATACATGCACATGTCCATTGACATGAGCATCCCCCCAAAACCGCCACCCCCACAAAACACACATACATATACTTACATACACACATGCACACACACACAAAACACACGTACACTTACCCTTATCCTTGCCCTGTCTTCTTTACCTGCTGATATATAATCTGCAATTTCCTTTCTAGCTTTCATAGCAAGTTCACCTAAGAACAGAATTAAAAACTTTACAAAATAATATACTTATGCCAAGACCTTTTGTCAAAATTGTTGAGTTAGATTCAAAAGAAAACAAAGAAAGGGTCACACCTACTGACACCAGACTTATTCTAAATATTAACTTAAAATGTTAAAATCCTCCTAAATTGTTAAGTTAATTTAATTTTGTCAACTTACTTTTCTTCTTCTCAAGCATCTTCAACCTCTGAATGCAGAGCCTGAGATTTGTTTTCAGCTTCAGATAGTTAGGCCCACTTTTACGAAACATGATAGTGTGATATTGTGTGGACTATAGAAGAAAAAAAGGAAATTTATATAAACAGCATGTAAATGAAAAACTGATATTGACATCAAATAAAAAAAAGTATGTTAGGAAACAAATAATCTTCATAAAGGAGGAATCCCTTTCCCTCCCGTCATTGTTCCTAACCAGTTCCCATATCTGAACAAATCCTTACACTTAAATGAACTATCTTACGTGTAAAAAAAAAGGAACCAAATCCAAAATTAGACAAACTGTCACCTGATATTTCCTTTAAAACATATATAACTGAACAGTCCATAATAATAATAATAATGGCAGTAATGTGACAAATATTTATATGCATAATAACAAGGGCAGTCTCACTATGTATATATACATGTGTAATCAAAAGGGGGAAGGTGTCATATGTCAGCTTGTTGTGGTATTTTTCTTCATATATATATATATATATATTTGGGGTTATAATTGGCACTGTAAATTACAACTGGAAACGAAGGGTGTAAGTTAATTGTAAAATATGTTTCTTTTAGTACATGTACACAAACTAAAAGCAGAGTGCATTGAAAACTATATCATATGCCACGCAATGTGGAAAAGGGGGACGTTACATGGTAGTGTAATGTATATGAAGAGACATATAGAGACGCTATAAGATTATAAATGAAAGGAGTTCATACACTGTATCAATTAAACCCCTATAAGTAAATGACTACCATCTCATATGACAAACAAATGTTACTCTACCTGTATTCTGCAGTGTCTGGGAACTGAAGTAGTTCATCAACATAAAAAATACTGCAGTTGGTTTCCCGTGCTTGTTGCTCATCCCTCACTTCCTGGTGTCAAAGGTCATCGAGATATTGCGATGTTTCCGTGTCACAGCAACTGAAAGCTCATCTAACGCAACCGTTGACATTTTCGGAAACTACATGTATTTATCAATGCGGTTTTACGATGAAATTTAATAAATTTAATTAAATAAATACAACACTGGTCAAAAAGGTTGTCCCACCCTCAATTCCATGTGGTTTTATTTACAAATGATCACCTCACATGTGTTCATTGTGTTAAACAATGCTTTTTACCCCAGATACAATATGTAACATGAAAATACAAAACAGCGGTGAAAATATCCATATTTTATACCATTTGTTAAAATTTAGAGCATTCATCCCTCAAATATGTGTTTCACTGTGATTTACACAAAAGTAGGCCTAAATAAATGTGCATTAAATTGAAACACAATTAGCATTTAGATGTGCTCGTAAAATAGCAGGTGTCCAATAGCGTGTATGTAACAGCAGCATTGCCCCGTTCATCCTTAAGAGCTTGGCGGAGTACGTACAGATTTTTGGGGGACTGGTTTTAATCTACATTGCACACTAGTGCCACAGGTGCTTAGTAGGCCTATATGTTTCACATCAGGGTTAAAAGCTTCTATCCCGAATTTTCCTTCCTAGAGAGGAGAAAAAGAAGGTTCGCCAGCAATGTTTATTACAATCGAATTAATATTGGGGTTCAGGATACGTCATATGATACCTCAATTTCTGCCCTCATCCGTCCTACGGTAAAGGAATTAATTACGTTCGAGATACAACCCTCTTAATTCAGCGAGCACATTTTATTGCTCAGTAAAGTATTGTTAAGTTTGGCATCTTCTTTGAATATACTCTATATACTTTCTGAGATTTAAAATAAAGCAGAGATTTTTAAGGTATATAGAAAATAATAAAATATAGCTGTGCATGTGATTTCTTCATTTGCATGTATCTTCCTTTGGTAGACAAACTACAAATAATGGGAATATTGCAGTAGTAGGGGCATGCACACAGGTCGCCAGGTGGCGCAGTCCACGCCGAACACATTTATTGTACCCATCTTTAGAAGCAACATTAAAAAATTAACTTAATCGCATTCATCGGGTAAAAAAAAGGCAAACATTGAAAATATATTTATTATTCAAAGTCTGAAAAATTATCGCCCACATTTTTAAATCGATTTTTGAAATTTTATTTTCATATGCATCATGAAACACAGCATGTTTTTATTTTAGATCGCAAGCACCTTTCATGCAACTTGGACCTATATAATAAAAAAATCTCTTAATGTGGAAGAGGAGATAGAGATAAATAGGCCAGTAGTGATTGTGATTTAACCCGTCCTTCCTTCACCACCGCGAATATGAAGAGCTGAAGTCATAATTTTTACCCATCGGCTCAGGCCATGGCGGTGACTTTTACCATGTAATTAAATACATATATCACGAATCACAAAAGCCATTTATTATTCGAAATAGCTCGGTTATGCCAGAAATCAGTTTATGTTAGCTGCTATTGATAATAATATTATCTGAATCATCTTGTGGCGTACCTGATTCGCTTTGAGCAGTATGTCAATCCTAAGAATCATTCTTGTAAGTTACAAAATAATAAGTAACACAGTGTTCTTCTCATAACGTTTGTGGGGTACTGCACAAAGTAGGTTTTTTGTCAATTTTGATGCAATATTACATTATGATTAACAGCATAATCACCAGCAATTTTCAATTATTTACTATACATAACATGATGGACATTAAAAAATGAATACCACTCAGCTTTATGCCCGTGGGACTTCAAATTCACACCTTGAAAACGCCAAAATGTAAACAAGAGATAACTGTACTGAAATGAGTTTATTTCCATTTCAACACTTTTTATAACAAATTAACTATCCTTTTTACGTGATCAACTAACAAACTTTTGAGATGGGAAATAAATCTATGGAACAATTTTAAATATCCAATTTAATGCTCCATTCTCAGATTCTAAACATGGTGAAGGATTGAATCTGACAAACTGTTCATTTCCATCATTTTTATATAATCATCAAACAATATTGTTCAGATGCAGAAAAATAACACTTTTCTGTATATAATTAGTTCAATAATAATAATAATAATAATAATAATTTATTGAGCACTAAAATGTTTCAGTACATTTTACAGGCCCTCTAAACTACTTGTGTTATACATACATGTAATATATATCTAGACCTATTATCACACTTACGTGATATCAGGCAGTGATAATAGGACTGTTAACATGCCTTAGAATGGAACCTGAGGAATAAACACTTACTGGTACATACAAACAAGGCATAACTTCATTAAAATTAAACCCATCAAGATAATTTTCGAACTTGATCTGTTTTATAGCAAAATATGACAAGGATTTTGTTATCTGTATAACGGTGGATAAATATGCCGTAAAAAGGGGGGGAAAACAGTATAACTTTTGGAAAATGGTCCGATTAAGTTGATTTTCGAACTCGACCTGTATTTCAGTAAGATTGATCACTCCTGTCGGTTTTCCTTGAAATGTGTTATCAGTATTGCATATATGCCGAAAAAAGCGGAAAAAGAAATGGCCCGATCGTGCTGATTTTCGAACTCAACTCAAGTTTGAAGACAAAAAGGTAAATGATTTTCCACTTCTCGAGTCATCACTGAAAGTGCACTGCTGCGGCCGACATAACAATAGGCGGTTGAAAACGTATCAAACGACAAGTTATTTTGGGGGTCCTAGGATGGAGATATATATCTCAAACACAATTTCATGGAAAAACTCAGCCTGTAGAAAAATTGCGTTGAAAACAGAAACAAGTCGTCCTCTTTTGATGTTAAGGGTATTTGTAAAAATTTTGTAACAAATATCCAAATCGCAGTCACAAAAGAACACTTGGCATGTGAGTTAAAGCATGGGAGGTGTGACTCCAAACAAACAGGCTTTACATGACGCGTCTGACACATTAAGTCTACGGCGGCGCCCTCCAATTTCCTTCCTGCCTACTTATTAAGTCTTACGTAAGCATGCGGGTGAACAAAGCTTGCTCCTGCTTGAATTTAGGCGGCCAGATCTCAGAAAAGGCTATGAGAAGATAAAGAGATGAAGCTGGCATTTGTTTTGCAGCTTCAGTGATTAAGAGCAAGCCTTTGATTCAATCTTGAAAAGACCCGATACTTTGGGTCGGTCCTGTAATCTTAGATCTAATGATGGACTTTTCTTCAGGTGTTCATTGAAATTAATACATCAGCTGGTGCTAACGAACATCAACATGTAAATGCACATATGCAGTATATTTTAAATATTAATGAATATAGAGATAGACCAGCGCTGAATATGTGTGTGTGTGTGTGTGTGTGTGTGAGAGAATTTGCTCAGACGTTTATCGTTGCTTTCTTACATTTAATGTAAACAGTGCTTCAAAGCTTCTTTACTTAGACTGATATAAGTCAGTGTTATTATTCACAAGAGGCTCCAGTAACTTGTTGAACGTTATTGCGTAATTCTTGACTCGGCTCATATATCAAATGATCTCCAAGTTTGGTCTTGATGTTGTTCACCAAGTTTCCCAATATTCTCCACCTGGTCTAAATTTGCGTGCGATTGTCCTTATAATTTGAGAAAGAACAGCGTAAGTCCTATATATAATTACTTCAACTTATAAATTTAGGTGGTTTTATATGTACAAATGTATTAAGTTGTGTAGAGAGCCTGTAAAATGCATCTGTTAATATTTTAGTGCCCAATAAAGTATTAAATTAAATAAATAAGGCGCTGATGGTGTAATAGTGCTGTGTAAAACCGTTTGAGTTAATATACGCTGATTATAAAATTACCATATATGATCCAACTACCAATCTAATGAACATTTTTGCTCGTTTGAGCTCATGTTTATTAGTCAACTGTTGAATAAATGAAACTCGGAAAACTACACAGGGACTGCATTTGATTGGGGTGAAAGGTTCGTTTTAAATTACAACAGAATGCACAAATATAAAAAAAAATTCCCTTTCCTATTCAAAAAGAGAGAATTTGTGTTGGTTGACTTGTCTTGGTTAACGACTTGTCGGATGGTGGATAAGAATGTAAAACGTCAATGGTTCTACAAAGATATTGCGAATGTTATCACTAGTAAAATTTTTCTTTTAAATTTTCTTCATATTTTAAAAATGTTTTATTTATAAACCGTCATCGTCGATCATCTCAATGGAAATCAAACTGCACGGACTGTGAACGCGCGACCAATCAATATGATGTTAGGCGAACATTGCAGTTTTCTGTCAAATGCTGGCTGCCGTTGGGAAGAAATTTATTCTCTGCGAAATCATTTTTTTTTTTTTCATTGCAGGGAAGGAAAATTCACAGGCAAGTATTTATTGGTATCTACTGGTCTCCAATATCAGCCTCGTCTTTCTTGGTCTTAACCATCCGAAAAACTTCAGTAAATGGACAACTGCTGATATAACTGGGGACAAGGCAGCTAACATTTTGATGTAGAGCTATGTTTTAGGGCTGTAGTAAATTTGCAAAACAGGCCCCACAGGTAATCCGGATTGAAGGTGAAGCAAGTGTGGATATTCACGTCACGTGTACCTCTAGTTTATTGGGGTCGCACAACGGATCCAAATATGTTGGCAACACACCCGGAGTTCTGCAGTCAAATCATCAAAAAAGCAGGCTACCAGGTTCCCAGTGAGTCAACCCGAGTTATGCTTTGAAATTCAGGGTGTGGAGCTATCATTACCTCTGGTATGCGTGTTGGATAAATTCCAAGGATTGTTAAATTAAATATCGCTGTGCGATTTCCGAAGCCGTAGTGTAAACCCTATGTTTTTCATGAGCTGAATGTGTTGTGTTGCTAATGAAGCCGAGAGAATGGTGGCTTGGAGAATTGTCGGGAGAGATGGATTGCCGTGAACATTAGTGACAAGTCACATTATTACATTATGTAGCAAGCATTTGTAATGGTGCTTTTTGTGATTCGAAATTCAGATATGGGTATCTAAGATATTTGTATGTACAGATATAGCAAAATGGCTC